AACTATGTTTCTCTTCACTCGCAAGCTGTCAGTCACGCAGCAGTGAACATAGGCACTAGATGAGTCACTTTTCCTTCAGCTCTAATCTCTGTTCACAGTGACAGGCAAATCACAAAAAATAATCCAATTCTGACTCTGGAAATCTTCTGTGAGTTTATTTGGGGGAGGAGAAAGATAAAATAGGATGTTTAGGATACCAAATTAGAGAAAGTAAAAGTTAAGTATAAATCACACAAGTTAAAGAAGTCCTGTCACTAAGTGGGAAGGGGTGTGTGTCATATTACCTATAGAAAAAAAGGCTGCCTGATTCCTGGTCTGCTCAATCCCCATGCACTAATGCTCATCAGTTAAAGGCTCCCAGGTATCTAAACTGTCACTTTCTGTCAGAAATTTGCTAATTAGACTATAGAGATTCTTTTTTTCTTGGATTATTTTGGATCCTGCTGGGAAAAATAGAAATGCTAAATGATCCAAGCCTGGGTCTCTAAAGATAGATAAGGCTGAGGAAATCCAGAAAACTCTCACACTGGATTTTGCAGCTATAAAGGACTTTCTAAAAACCAAATTAAATTTTTAGCTCAATATATACATGAGCTTCTCTATGGGAGAAGTCAAAGTTCATTTGCCCTATTTATATAATGAACTATGAAAAACTGCCATAGAACTGAGGCAGTTACAATACATAGATTCCTTAAGACAATGAAAAAATCAGTCATGGGGAAAAACAAGAAGATCTTGAACACAGGAATAATTTGTGGTACCTGGGTATCCCTGAAGGGTGGAAGGAAAACCACAATTAGATTTTTCTAGAATACTCTCAGATGTACTGGGATTCGATTGCCTCCCCTGGAGATTAAAAGGGCTGATCAAGTGGAAGGGGCCAGAAAGACAGAGAAAAATAACCACAGGCCCATCATTTTAAAATTGCAAGATTTAATGACAATGTTAAGCTGCTGTCTGCTGCTAGGCAAAAAGGAACTCAAGTATAAGGATTTTAAATTTTCTTTGTATCTAGACTTCCCTGTAAATTCAAGCAAGAAGAGAGCAGCATTTAATGGCATCAAACAAGCTCTCGGGGGATCAGATATTAAATACCGCCTTCAATATTCTGTGATCTTCATAATGAAAGTGACAGACTTTGAAATACTTCAATACCTCCTTTAATACAGGAATCGAGACCAGATCTCACTAAAGGTAACAGTGTTATTCTCTCATTAAAAAAAAAGAAAAGAAAATGGAGATTATAAGTATAGAAGAGAAGAAACTGGGATTGGGAAAGCTAGGCAATTCATGTACATATATCTGATGTACTTAACAGTGTTATAAGGAATAATTAGTACTGTTAGACAAGATATTTGGGATAGCTTAATAATACTATCAATATATTGGTAAGCCAACACATGTATATATACATTCATAATAATTACATTACTTTTATCTCCTTACATTTATATCTATATTTATATATATTTACATGTTTATAATATATACATGCCAATATATTCATGTTTGCATGTTCTTTGTAACAACCTCTATTAATTTATGTATGTTTATTTTTACCCATACTCTAAATAGATTTATAATGTCTATGGTAATAATATATTCATATTTATTTGCTTGCATTCATGTCATTTGTCAATGCATGTTTAAATTCTTTCTTTGGTAAATATGGATATATTTCTGGCAGATTCCTAATTTAGATTGTGCTTGAAGGGAGTGGGGGCAAGAAAAAGCATATACCATCTGAGATCTGAATGTGCTTGTACTGGAAGTCTGGGAATCTGAGGGTAAGGCACATAGTACGTATGCTTGGTTTGTTGGGAGGATGTTTGCATGGAGAAGCACTTAAAGGCTGTCAATTGATTGGGCATCAATTAGCAGCTGAACAATCACTGATTTTTCATTAACTCTAGCAAGTCCTGTTCCTTGAGTGCACATGGTCTTAAAGTACCCATGTTGTAGGGCAAGTATATCCTATCACCCTTTCAGGTCGGAGAGAGAGGGTATTAGGGTTTTATAGCCCCATGCCTAATGGCCAGAGCCCATATGGTATTTCTCCTGGGTAGGGCCCCATGTGACCTAGTGCCAAGAGTCAATATGGCTGCCCTCCCACACTGCCCACCATCCCAGGGCTAATTAGCCTAAGGGCCAGAGTCTAAAATGGCTGTTCTCCCTCACAAGGCACTGTGGCCTAGTGACTAGAGTCCATAAAGCTGCCCTCTACGGCAAGACTGTTTAGTCAGTTGGCCAGAGGATTTTGGACCACCACCCAAAGAGGGTTGTGGTGGCAAGGACAGGGGAATCTGGGCCTTCGTGGGACCCATCAGAGGGCCTTGCCTGTGGTGAGTGTACCACTGGGTGATCAGGAATTCAACTGAAACACGCAGACTTAGTTTGCAGTCCTACAAACAGCTCATTGGTTAGTTCTTCTGGGCTGTTTTCTACCCTGTCTTCCAGTGGTGTGCTCCAACATTCTCATGGGCCTCTAGGGCCACTGGCCTGTGAAGCTTACAATGGTCATGATGCCTACTGGGTGTCCTTGGGTATCTACACAAACCTTGGGGGCTTCACTTTCACACCCTGATGCTGTAATAGTGCCTGAGAGAGAGTTTTCAAGGTGTGTCCTCTCTCCTCAGCAGTCTCTCCTGAATGAACTGGTCTGCTCCCTCTTCTAGCGTTGCTCCAACTGGAGCATGTCCATCGGGGTGAAGAGGTGTACCTTTCTCTGCCCAGAGTAACCCCTCCTTGTCCTATGCAGAGCAACTACACCCCATCATAACCTTCCAAAAGAATCAAATATTTATGGCATTTAAGATCAAATGGATCTGAAATCCTTCAGGAGACTCACTTAAGGAATAGATAGAATTTTAAAAGACCATGAATGAGACAGGAATATCACTACTCTTTCAACTCCAGAACCAGGAGAGTAGAAATACTTACACACTAAAAGCCTACTTTTTCAATTTATTCAATTGTGGTCAAATCCAGAGGGCAGATAAATAATTATTGAAGGCATTTTCAACACTACGAGATTAATTTGGTTGAGTACATAAAATCCTAGTGGAGACAATGCCACTTTTATCACAGGCATAACTGGCAGCATTTCAATGCTGCTGATGTCCCATTGATACTAGAAGGGGACAGCAATACTGTCATGGATGAGATCATAAACAAATTTAAATATTCTAGATGAAAATCTCAAGCTTTCACAAGCCATCCATGATGTTGAACTAATGAATATTTGGACTTTGAAGCATCCTACAAAACATGACTATAAACAGTTATCCATGATTCATGCCTCCTATTATAGACCAGCTTTTGTTGTAATATCTAAGTTGCTAGCTTCTACATGTCTGGAGGCAGAAGTCAGTAATATCGTCTCTGGTTATGCTTCAATTTCTCCTCCCATAAATATTGGTCACAATGCTACAAGATCTTTGATATGGGATAGATTTTAAACTACCTAGAGAACCTAAATTTTTTCAGGTGATGATATATTCATAACCAATTTCTTGAAGGAAAATACAAATATTGTCTTTTCTATTACAGCTTTACGGAAGCACTGAAAGCTACCTTAAGGAGAGAATGAATGAAATTTGCATGTGAAATGAAATACCTAATTTTCTGGCAGAGTTTCAAGGAGAAAAACCATAGAGAAGACTCTCAGAATAATGAGCCAATGCATTCCTCAAAATACAAATATTATGAATGTGTGTCCACCTGGATTGAATTCATGCTTTTAAAAAAGTTAAACACAAGTGAGGAGCCATGAAGCTCCACACACTGCCTCCACACTCCAGTTGGCTGGTTCCCTGTGCTTTCATGTGAGAGCAGTGTGCAGAGTCATTTGCGTACCTCTGTCTTGGATTCAGACTTTCTACTGGCTGCTTCTGGGGTACAGCATGGTCTGCGGTGACAGGACAGGTGGGAAGCCAACCTTAGAATCCCTGCTGCTCTGCTGACTGAGTCACTGAAGGTAAGCCCATTCCAACCTAGCACTCCACTGTCCTGCCCCAGCCCTGAGCCTCCTCTTGAACCCCAAACTCATTCCTGGCCCCATCCCAGAGCCCACACTCTAGTCAAAAGATACAATTATGTTGGGTCATGGTCATCAATAATTTTCTTCAACTGTCTCATGAGAAAAAAAGGTTGAAAATCACTGCTTTAGGGTATTGACCCATGACAGTGCCCCATACTCTAGGGTCTTCCTCTTCTAGGGAACCCTATCTCCATATACTCACCTTGCCTCAGTGAGCCACTGCCAGTCATCATCTAGCTCATGCCTCAGAGAAAACTGCAGTCTGAAACGGCCACTCATCATAGGCACGGGGGTGTAGACCTGCTGCCTTCTCCTGCCCTAGCTTCTCCTCTGCAGCCCTAGTACTTTCCTGGGCCCCTGTTGCTGGACCTTACCTTGGGATTTATTCAGGCCTGAGTTCCCCCAACTCACACTGCCTTCCTCCAGCACTGTCTTGTCTAAGGTACCCCTGCTAGCAGGCAACTAGGACCCTTTTCTTCAGGAGCTGGACCAAGAATGAGCTCCTCCTGGCTAGACATCCTCTTGTATACAATCCTACTGGGCTCTAATTGGCTGCTACAAGCCTTCTCCTAATTGGCTCCCAGCCACAGCCCTCTCTCAGAATTGTTTTAACAGTGCGGGGCAACCACCCTGTCACATACTTAGTATAGACTTCTGACAATAAAGGTATTTACAACAGCAGAAATGTCATGGGATATGAGGATGTCCGTAATTATCTTAATTCTAAAAAATGACAAGGGTTGTCTTCATTATGACAATTACTAACTCATCCTTCTGTTGTACGCAGATTATAAAATCCAGAAAAAGCTTCTTGCTTCATGCTTACAATACATTTTGCTGTCAATCATTCATGTGTATCAGGTGGGTTTTATTCATGGCAGATTAGCAGCAGATAATACTCAGAAAATATTCCACTTAATTTGCCAGGCACAAACAACAGATCCTCCAGATGATATCTTATTTTGAGATGCTGAAAAAGCCTTTGATCAAGTGGTAATCACTCTTTCACTTTTCAGTTAAATCCAGGAATGCATCAGGGATGCCCTCTATAGCCTTTAACATTTGTTATTGCTATGGGACCATTATCAGCATATATCAGACAGACTCTCTGCATTGAAGGAATTACTATCCATGATGTACAGGATTAGTCTATATGCTGATGATAGTCTGCTCACTCTCAGAAATCCATCCTCTTTCATTCTCTGCTGCTATTAACAGGTAACTATTTTGAGATATCAGGATTTCAGATAAACTGGAACAATTTCCAATCAAATCTGTTTCAAAAAATAATCATTCACCTTTCGTTCTTGCAAAAAAAGAATCTACATAGGCATTAAGATGTGCTCTGATTTATCAAAGTTGCTATCTGAATATGCATCTTGTACTCAGATAATTGACAAAAGACATAGAAAAATGTCTGTCTTTACCTATATTTGTATTGGGAAAGCTGGAAGCTATTAAAATGAAGGTAAGACCAAGATTAATGTGTATGTTTAGCTTAGTTCTACTGAAATTTCCTGTTTCAGCATTCACAATCATAAATAAAATTGTACAACCATTTTTATGATGATGACATGACAGATATCCCACAAAAGACTTTTAAAACTCATTGCCAAGTAGGGAAAAGTGGTGAATTACCTGATTTGCATTTATATCACCTGACTTTTCAGTTAAGATGTTTAATAAGATGGTTTTGCATTTCCAAGACCCAGGGTAGTGTGAGATTGGAAAAAAATTGTTAACCCCTTTGGCTGTCTCTTTGTGCTTCTGTTTCAAAAACAGTTTCTTGTACTTTTAAGAAAAAACTCAATATTTACCTCCTTTTGAAATCTCAGAGGTGTAGCCATGTTAGTCCCTACCTCTGTAATTTCTAATCCATGCATCTGATTAAGTGTTTTTACCCAGGAAAGCTTATGCCTAAATAAATCTGTTAATTTTTAAGGTGTCACAGGACTCCTCTTGGAGTGTTCCATTCTAACCACATCAACTCTCCTTGGCTGTGTCTACACTGACATCCCTTCTGGAAAAGGGATGCTAATGTAGCACTTTGGAATAGGCAAATCCGTGGGGGATTTAAATATCCCCCGCGGTATTTGCATTAACATGGCTGCCGCTTTTTTCCGGCTTGGAGATAAGCCGGAGAAAAGAGACAGTCCAGACGTGATTCTCCGGAAAATAAAGCCTTTTCCGGAGGATCTCTTATTCCTACTTTCAAGGAATCCCCCGCGGATTTGCCTATTCCAAAGTGCTACATTAGCATCCCTTTTCCGGAAGGGATGCCAGTGTAGACACAGCTCTTCTGTGCCTATCTGAAATACTCAATTTAAATTAGCTAACATCTCAAAAGATCAAATCCACCTCACTACCCAGGGCAGGTTAATCATAAAAAGGTGTTATCAAACCAACAATTTTAGCTTCTTTTTCATATCTTCATAACAGATACCAGCTACCCTTCCAGTAATTCTAAAATAATTGTCAGTGCAAAAATATAAAAGAGCTGGGGAATTGTTTGCAGGCTTTAAACACTCCACCTGAAGTGCATCTTTCAAAAAAGTTTGCCAGAAACATTGTGGATAACATATACAAATGGCTGAACTCCTTAATTTATCCCATAGACTGTGCCATAACAGAGAAACAGGAGAAGGAGCTAAATATCTCCATTTCCTCCAGCAGGTATGTGTGAGAGAGTGCATTCAGTGATCTGGCAGTCAATGAACAAAGCTTGGCCACACCACAACCACCTGACTGGCTAAGGCAATGAGGAGACTTGCTCTTAACCAAGCACCAACAGAGCATCAACACCTTGTCAACGCATATACCTGTGCAATCTATACCTTCCTGGGCTTGCTTCACTCCAAGCTCTGCTCCTGCTTGTTCCAGCCTGGATACTGCCCTGTACTCAGTCTTATTTTAGTCCTGTCCTAGCCTTGCTCTTGCCTTGGAACTAGCCCTGCCTCTGCCTTCCCTGACTTCAGATAATCCAGTTCTGCCCCTTGGTTCTGATTCCTGGCTCTGACTCTGTCATGATCGATGAGCTCTGGCATTTGGACTCTGATCACTCGGCCTGACTACCTATGACTCCTGACAGGGGGATGCTATCTAGCACTATGTTTTCTGTGTTTGCATTACTAACAAAACATAATTCTAAACATGTTATTGGACTTCTGAACAATTGCATTAATACGTGTTTAAATTTAATGATACCTGTCAGCTTGTTGCAAAATCTGATTCAATAAATGATTTTATTTGAGACTATTATCAAAGCACTGTACAGAATACAGAAAGATAAGATTCATTACCAACCTGGAGGAATGGGAAAAGCTATCTTCCTTGTCCATGTCCTCTGTAACTGGTGTGTTGCCAACAGTTTGCACTCTCCGCCTAATTCCCCAAACCTCTCTATTCTTACAGAGAAAAATTCTTTCCCATGTTTAATTTCATTGTGTCCTATTTTGACGTTTGATTATTTCATTACTTACGGAGTTACTTTTTTTGGTATCTTTAGGTTACAGGATCAATAAATTAAAGTGAATTCTAAAGTGGTCATTACTGTTTCATCCTCTATAGAACCCATCTGTAGTAAGGATGTTAAATTTAGATGAATGGGTTAATCGAATAGTCAGTGCAATTTGCATTGACTAATCAATTAGTCAATAAGGGTGCCCTGTTCATAGAATCATAGAGTTGGAAGAGACCTCAGGAGGTCATCAAGTCCAGCCCCCTGCCCAATCCCAACTAAATCAACCCAGCCAGGGCTTTGTCAAGTGGAGACATAAAAACCTCTAGGGATGGAGATTCCACCACCTCCCTAGGTAACCCATTCCAGTGCTTCACCACTCTCCTAGTGAAATAGTTTTTTCTAATATCCAACCTAGACCTCCCCCCCTGTAACTTGAGACCATTGCTCCTTGTTCTGACATCCATGACTACTATGAACAGCCTTTCTCTGTCCTCTTGGGAACCCCCCTTCAGGAAGTTGAAGGCTGCTATCAAATCCTCCCTCATTCTTCTCTTCTGCAGACTAAACAATCCCAAATCCCTCAGTCTCTCCTCTTAGGTCATGCGCTCCATCCCCCTAATCATTTTGGTCACCCTCCGCTGGACCCTCTCCACTGCGTCCATATCCTTTCTATAGTGGGGAACCCAGAACTGGACACAATATTCTAGATGTGGCCTCATCAAAGCCGAATAAAGGGGAATAATCACTTCTCTGAATCTGCTGGCAATGCTCTTCCTAATGCACCCTAATATGCCATTAGCCCTTTTGGCTACAAGGGCACACTGTTGACTCACATCCAGCTTCTCATCCACTGTAATCCCTAGGTTCTTGTCAGCAGAATTGCTACTTAGCCAGTTGGTCCCCAGCCTGTAACAATGCTTGGGATTCTTCCGTCCCAAGTGCAGGAATCTATACTTGTCCTTGTTGAACCTCATCATATTTCTGTTGGCCCAATCCTCTAATCTGTCCAGGTCACTCTGGACCCTATCCCTGCTCTCCAGGGTATCTCCCTCTCTCCCTAGCTTAGTGTCATCTGTGAATTTGTTGAGGGTGCAATCCATACCCTCATCCTGGTCATTAATAAACATGTTGAATAAAACCGTCCTAGAACAGATCCTTTGGGCACTCCACTAGAAACTGACTGCCAACCTGACATTCCATTAACTTGCTGGCAAGAATATTGTGGGAGACCATATCAAAAGCTTTGCTAAAGTCAAGGTATATCATATCCTCTGACTTTCCCATATCCACAGAGGCAGTTACCTCATCATAGAAGCTAATCAGATTGGTCAGGCATGACTTGCCCTTCATGAATCCATGTTGACTATTCCTGATCACTTTCCACTCTTCCAAGTTCTTCAGAATGGATTCCTTGAGGATCCTCTCCATGACTTTTCCAGGGACTGAGGTAAGGCTGACTGGTCTGTAGTTCCCTGGATTGTCCTTCTTCTCTTTTTTAAAGATGGGCACTACATTTGCCTTTTTCCAATAATCCAGGATCTCTCCCGATCTCCACGAGTTTTCAAAGATAATGGCCAAAGGCCCCGCAATGACATTTGCCAACTGTTGCTACACTTCAAAGGCGAAAGTGATGCAGGGAGCATGGGGCCAGTGGGGGACTCAGGCGGTCTCCACTGGCCAAGTGCTTCCCATAGCGTTTCAAAGCAGCAGCACTGCATGGAGCCTGGGGTCAGCTGGGGACTCTTTATGATAGAGGCATCAAGGGAAGGGAAACGACTAGTCGACTAGTGTGCTAGTGGACTAGCATTTGTTTATCGGATATTCAACTCATTGACTAGTCATTCACATCCCTAATCTGTACTAAAAATTATCCCTTATCAACCACCAGTGCATTACTGAAAACACTCCCCTAGTCAGTATACTTATGTTAACACTTCTAGTAGTTTGAGGGGTGGGTTGTCCTGGACACTTGTGTCTACGCTACAGGACAAAGCCAAATTATGATACACAACTTCAACTACTTTAATTGCATAGCTGAAGTCAAAGTAGATTAACTCAGCTTTTGGCGCTGTTTACATTGTAGGAAGTCAAAGAAAGATCACTCTTCCTCCGGCTTCCCTTACTCCTTGTGAAAACAGGGTTACTGGCATCAACTGGAGTGTCCCTCTCACTTCAAATTGGCTGTCTTAATTAGACTGCTAATTCGAACCCTGGAAGATTGACAGCAGCAGTTTTGATCTTCCTCTGTAGCATAGACATATCCTTGGTGATTCTTACAGACGTGAAGATGTTGAGGATAACTAGATACAACCCAACACTCAAACCTATGAAATTCCTGAATACAGATTACTCACAGGTTACAAATCAATCCTCTTAGAAATCAAAATACTCTTTCCTAATACCATAAAAGATTTTGGGAAAATAGTGACGGAAATTAATATATGTGACGGAAATTAATATATGAAGAGAAGAGGATCAAAAAGGTTAATATTTATGGATATGTTCTAACAGCATGAAGCTGGATTTGCCATACACAGTAAAAGTTAAAGATGTGACAGTTCCATGCAAGCCTGTCTCGTGCAGTTGGTTAATGTCAAATTATACCCACATTTTGATCTAAAGTGACTGGGGTTATCACTACATCAAGCCTTTGGCTTTTGGGTATTCTAGAAGATGCACCCTGTTCAGGTAATGTCAGGAAATGGATTGCTGCAGTACATAGAGTATAAAGGGTCATTTTATAAAAATGGGAAATCTGCTATTTCTCCCCCACACACATATTCGTTGATTGGCTAACTGGCTTAGTCAACAACACACCCATGGGAAAACTGGCATTAATAGAGGCACATGATCCTATTAAGAAGACACTTGGGCTATGTCTACAATGCCCCCGATTTGCGCAAAAAATATGCAAAAGAGGCAAAGCATGGAATATCGCTGCACCTCATTTGCATAATAAATGAGGCTCCGGTTTTCCACAAAACCTCCCTCTTGAACAGGAGCTCTTATTCAGCATTT